TTTAGTAGAAATGAAATAATTGAATCCATCCAATTCATGCATAAAAATAATAATACCCTCTATGCCTCCCTTCCAAGAGGTTGATATAATAGATCCAATGAGATAGTGTTAAAGCACTTCTTTACATTTATAATTAGGTTAGGGAACCTTTACTGAGTGCTCACCAAGTGCTAGGTATCGTGCTAAGATCTTTGCATATATTGTATCCTCTAGTCCTGCCAGTCTCATTATTACATTATTATACCCACTTTACAATTAAGGTAAGTGAAGCACAGAGAAGCTATCAGCCTACACTCTTAGTACCACATCTTTATTTCAGAGATATTAACATTACAACATTATGAAGTTAATTAGTGAGATCCTATTACATTTCAATGACCAAAGGTTTAATGCCTCCACCAATTCATCTACAAAGAAATGCATGATGTAGGAACCACATTTCTTGGAAACACTGATGTTCCCTGAAAGTTTTCAGAAATGGAAATGTTTCCCAGTTTATATAAACAACATTGAAATAATTTCCTCAATGTTGAGTTTACCCCTAAAATTTTTCTTAAACTGGTAGCCCTTGCTACTACTTGCTTCCTACAAATAAGAAAGCAACAAGTGTAATTCCTTAACATGTACTTGTATGCATCTCTGCATCTAATATGCAGAACTTATTTTCTACCAGTTAATTCCTACTTCACCGTATGGCATTAAAACTAACTGTGCTTCTCAGTGTCTGCATAAAACACTGTGACTTCCAGTGCTTCAAATGACTTTGGCAGCCATAGCTTACTGGAAAGAGCAAGGAAAGGTGTTGGAAGTCACTCAGATCATTAGCTGGTTTCCTGAATTCTCTGAGGTTATGAGGTTGGGGGATCAAATGAAGTACAGTTGGGCCTCCTTATCTATGAATTCCATATCTGCTGACTCAACCAACTTCGGATGGAAAATATTCAGGGGATGAGGAATAGATGGTTGCATCTATACTGAATATGTAACACGATTTTCTTGTCATTATTCCCTAAACAATGCAGTATAACAACTATTTACACAGCATTTACATCATATTAGGTATTATAAATAATCTAGAGATGATTTAAAGTATACAGAAGAAGGTACATAGGCTATTGTAAATACTACTCCATTTTACATAGGATTTTGGTATCCATTGTGTTGGGGGGGGTGGGGGAGGCAGCAACCAATCTCCCATATTTAAAGGGTGGCTGTATTTGGAAACTATATAATACTGCATATTATCTCAAACATATGTAGATCAAAAGCAGAGTAAGATGAACCTAGGAAATAGACAGAGTCTTTAGAATGGAGTTAGAAGATTTCATAGTTTAGGTTTGTGGGTATCACGAAAGTATGGGAAAATAAAATTATTATTTATCATGTGATTATGGGGGGAAAATGTGATTTACTCCCATAGCACTAAATTTGGGTGAAATGCTTGCTGTGGGGAGTTAGGAAAATCTGTCTATTTATGCTGAAAGAACCAGTGGCAAAACACTCGCATCTGGTAGACTGCTTTTTTACTCTAATGCTCTAATGTCTTAGAGACATTGTCTCTGCTTTATAGATTTCTTGGATAAGAAATCAATGCATTGGCCGGGCGCGGTGGCTCAAGCCTGTAATCCCAGCACTTTGGGAGGCCGAGATGGGCGGATCACGAGGTCAGGAGATCGAGACCATCCTGGCTAACATGGTGAAACCCCGTCTCTACTAAAAAAAAAAATACAAAAAAACTAGCCGGGCGATGTGGCGGACGCCTGTAGTCCCAGCTACTCGGGAGGCTGAGGCAGGAGAATGGCGTGAACCCGGGAGGCGAAGCTTGCAGTGAGCTGAGATCCGGCCACTGCACTCCAGCCTGGGCGACAGAGTGAGACTCCGTCTCAAAAAAAAAAAAAAAAAAAAGAAATCAATGCATCATTATAAAACCACATGAGTAGTATTAGTTTCCTATTTCTGCTGTAATAAATTACCACAAAGTTAACAGCTTAAAACAATATACATTTATTATCTTACAGCTCTGGAGGTCAGAAGTACAAAATGGGTCTCAATGGGCTAAAATCAAGGTGCCAGAAAGGCTGTGTTCCTTCTGGAGGCTCAAAGGAGAATAATCAGTTTCCTGGTCTTTTCCAGCTTCTAGAGGCTACCTACATTCCTGGGCTAATGGCCCCTTCCTGCATCTTCAAAGCCAGCAGCGGTGGGCTGAATCTTTCTCCTGGTATCATCTCTTCTTTCTCTAGCTCCCTCTTCCAATTTTAAGGGCCCCTGTGATTATATTGGGCACCTGGATATTGCAGGATACACGCTCTAAGGTCGGCTGATTAGCAACCCTAATTCCACCTGTGACCTTAATCCCCTTACCCATGTAAGGAAACATGTTCCTAGGTTCCACGGATAGAACGTGGACATCTTGGGGTGGAGCATTATTCTGCCAACTACATGAATTAGAATCTATTTTTAAATCAGTAAATATCAAACACACAATAGGCCAGCTATTTCCCCAAATCTTTGCTCTCCCTAGCCCTCTGAGACTTGGCTTTAGAATGTGGATGGTAGAAGAGGGTAAGAAAATATACCTTTTTCATTTAGTGCTAAGCAGTGGTGTGCTGGTCAACATTTAATCAGGTCTAGCAGGTAGGAGGAGGGGAAATTAATCTGTAGCATTTACTGATTTCCACATCATAAATATTTTCCAGCACAGTCGGTTTTAAGCTGACAATGATGAAGCCAAGTAGCTCAAAAAATCCTGAAAATGTCACAATTCTCACAGTACAAGCCAGTACCAGGAAGCTACAGCACATCACTCGAAGTATATATACTGTGACAGACCCTAGTCTAGGGAATGCAAGTTACATTCCTGAACTGAATACAACTGAAGTATACCAGTGCTGTCTCCAAATTTCCCCTTTTACCCATAGGATTAACTCTTCATGGGCCCGCCTGACATGACTGAATACTAAAGAGCTGGTTGACTTTCACACCTTTCTGACTATGAAGGATCAAAGAACATGCACAAATGCTGGCCAGGAATCCAGTCTACTCTTCCCTCACTAAATGCTGCATGCAGAGATGATGACCAATCAGAATGAGACCCAATGCCCCCTGACTTCTTTTGGGAGAGAAGGAAATGAAGGCAGAAGGGGACCAGCGGCCAGTGGGGGGAAAGTCAGAGACAAAGCTAGAGGCTCTTGGGCGACAGTGGGCTGCTTGGATTCTACGTGGCTCAGAGTTTTCTGGGCAGCAGCCATTTGCCTAGGGAGGAGGGCAGTGTGTTTACAGGCTGATGTCCGTGTGTGTGTTTGCTGTGCATTTTAAAAAATAAGTGCTCCATAAGCACAGCCATTATCACTTCCCTCAGCCATTTCCACACTGGCAATGTGAAATATCTCATTTCTAGATGGCTAATGTTCATTTTTCTTATCTGACACAAGCTACTAACTAGGCTCACATTTAACATGAAAAGCTACAGATTTATCTACAGCAGGGAAGGCTGGGATCATAGTGACAGTGCAGGCCAATCGGCCAGAGAAATCACACCTGTGGAAGAACAAGGATGGGTCACTCCTTCTTTTGCAAGGTCATTTAAATTAATGCTCCTCGAACTTTTATGTGCACAAGAATTACCTGTGGAGGCCGGGCGCGGTGGCTCAAGCCTGTAATCCCAGCACTTTGGGAGGCCGAGACCGGCGGATCACGAGGTCAGGAGATCGAGACCATCCTGGCTAACACAGTGAAACCCCGTCTCTACTAAAAAATACAAAAAACTAGCCGGGCGAGGCGGCGGGCGCCTGTAGTCCCAGCTACTCGGGAGGCTGAGGCCGGAGAATGGCGTGAACCCGGGAGGCGGAGCTTGCAGTGAGCTGAGATCCGGCCACTGCACTCCAGCCTGGGTGACAGACCGAGACTCCGTCTCAAAAAAAAAAAAAAAAAAAGAATTACCTGTGGAGCTTGTTAAAATGCAGATTCTGATTCAGTAGGTCTGAGGTAGGGCTAAAGATTCTGCTCTTTTAACAAACTCCCAGATGATGCCAATATTGCTTGTTCAAGGGCCATATTTTCAATGGTAAGAGTCTACAGATCAACTCTCTCTCCCCACCTCTCACATCCTGGCAAATTTATGCCAATAGAATTACAGTTATCATGTTAGGAAAGGGAAAAAAAAAAACACCACTTTTAGACAATGTTAAAACAGTTTAGGCCAGGCATGGTGGCTCATTCCTGTAATCCCAGCACTTTGGGAGGCCAAAGCAGGTGGATCCCTTGAGCCCAAGAGTTCGAGACCAGCCTTGGCAACACTGTGAAACCCTGTCTCTACAAAACACACACACACACACACACACACACACACACACACACACAAAATAGCTCCAGTGGTATTAACCTGTAGTCCCAGCTACTCAGGAGACTGAGGTGGGAGGATTGCCTGACCCCAGGAGACTGAGGCTACAGTGAGCTGTGATCACACCACTGCACTCCAGCCTAGGCAACAGAGTGAGACCCTGTCTCAAAAAAAAAAAAGAAAAAGAAAGAAAGAAAGAAAGAAAACAGTTTCAACTACACACATTTATGAATAGTGTACACTATTGACCCATGAAGAAATTAGCTGTAAATGACCCACATGCCAGCCAGTTATGGGTATTAATTGACAACTAATAAATGACCTTTAGGACAAGAGGTTGTAATGCAATAAATATTAAGGGTCTGCAAGCCTCTTCACCCTATTCCTGGTGATGACTTAACGACTGTCTTTGTTCTACCTGAAATACAGACTATGCTCCATAAAGGGAATACCTCCTCTAAAATCACAAGACCTAAGCATGAATCTTCCTTTGAAGGATAAAATGGAAGGAAAAAAATTGGATGAGGAAAAGAAGGGAGGGGATAGAAACAGAGAGAGAGAAAAAGATGGGTAAATTTTTAAAGTCCCTGTAATAAAAATCTTCTACAATGAAACTATAATTGTTGATCAGCAAATGTGAACTAACCCTCCTCCTCCTCACCTTCTCTCTCTGAATTGCCTTCATTTTTTGGAGTTCAGCTTCTTCAGCTTCCTTCTTGATTCTTACAGATTCTTCTCTTTTTAGCTAAATTGTATTGAAATTACAGAGAACGAAAACAGTTACCATTTTTCAGTCTGAACCCTGGAACACAAAATTATGATGAAAGGCAAATTACAGTATTGTTTGTGCTATACCTCACCATGATTATAGGTTGTTACTTCAAGCTACTTAGATCACAGAGAATGGCCGGGCTACATCTTCTGCCTGTAAAATTTCTGTCTTTGTGTTTCTTCCTTGGTGTCTCTCTTTTTCAATGTCTCTGTCTTTATCTATCTCTGTCTCTCTCTCTCTCTCTCTCTCTGTGTGTGTGTGTGTGTGTGTGTGTGTGTGTGTGTATTGGGGAGGGAAAAGGGAAAATAATTTTTCCTGATTACAAAACTCAGTGTTCATTGTAAAAATCGCTGGGAATCTTAAATCTTTTTTGTACTACTTCCATGACTGGCATTCAGTAAACAAATCCACATTCTTAGAACCAAAACATTCCAAACATAGTAGACTTTAAACTATAGTTAAACATAGTTAACCTAAACGAGAAAAATAATTCCCTTAATAGAGGGTCTTACTGAGTGATAAAGGGCTTGGGTAAGAACTGAAGGTATCCGTCTCTTCACTTCTCACTTCGTGATAGCTTTGATTTTGAAAGCTGCTGTTTGCAGTTGGTTGGAAGGTTTTATGCTTTTGGTAAAGTTACTGTGTTATTTCACGGTTACTTGAAAGAGCTGGTACTCATATTCCTTACCAAAATTAAACTAAAAGAGATGAATTCTGACCTTTTGCTGGTATTTAGATTGCATCAGCTGGAGTTGTTGCTTCTGTCTGACTTCAGTTTCTGACTGGCTTCCACCTTAGGAAAAAAAAAATCCACAAAGGTGAAACATAAATATTAAGCTGAAATGTCAGCCATCGAGGACTAATTAATACATAATAAATCTGTTACATGAGTTTCCTTAACATTCTCATGCCCTTAGAAATAAGAACATAACCAGTTTTCCTAATAAGACCTTAAAGAAGAATCACTTAGAAGAAAGAGCTGGATAGAAAGAGGAGGCCACATTTTTAAAACAAAAGAGCACTTTACCAAGGTTTTCCAATCACGTAGGTATTAAAGTATTCACTTGGATTGAAACCATACCTAAAGGTCTGTGCTAAATAGAAGAAATAATGCCTGTCTTGGAAATTGTAGAATATTCTTCCTGCTTGAATATGACCATGCCTGAACCTAGTAAAGACGGTGATCAAAGGTGCTTCTATTGCTTTTCTTCTTCTAACTCTATTGCTTTATGTTCAAGCAGCAAGGCTCAGGAAGCTCTCAGAGGTCTTGCCACTAGACAAGTATGTAGTCTTTATAACCCAGTTTCTAAAAATACAATGGGAATATTCCAGTTAGTAACTGATCCATACTATATATTGTTCTTTCCTTATATAGTCAAAATAAAAATGTGGATGTGAGATGATTTACTTGCTCTCTCTTAAACCTAAAAGAATTTGAGGCAGCTTGACAATCATCTAAGAATTGCTGTTTAGGGAATCCTCACTGTTTATGCAAGCTCGGTGTGCGTATTATAAAGATTCCTTTGAAATAATTCTCTGGTGCTTTGGTCACTAAAAGTGTCAGCTCTCTGCAAGATTCACTCTCACAGAAGATGCATTAAAACAATTTGTGTTCACTATAGATCTTATAATTGAACTGAGAAAGATACCATAGGGACTTTTCTTCTGAGATCCAAAAGATAGGCCTGTTTGGTGTTGGCCTTTTGACTGCTATTGTGGGGAATGGGGGATGTTTCTTTCAAGACAGTGAGGAATGTTGATGCTTTTCTCTAATGTTACAACAACTTTTAGTATCTCCTGCAACCATTCCAATATTGTAAGGGGTAGAGAAGTAGAGGAGGAGTTGAAAATTCGAAGAAATGGAGGAAGTCAGATGTTTAAGCATTTACAAGTTTTGTTCAAAACTCATCTCAAAGTTTAATACATTCTAGAATTTTCTTCTCTACCCCCAAGCCCCTCCCACACACACATACCTGATTATCCCTAGATAATGCATATAACAGGAAGTCAAAATGAGAATCCTGCTCATTTTCTGCTAAGACTTCAAGACAACAGATGCCAAGCACTTCAAATTCCAAAGTGAGGTAATGGCCCCTCAAAGCAGGATCCGCAAGGAGATAACTGAAACCTACCTTGGGGAACCTTAACTAACTTCACCCTATAAAAGAGGTTGGTCAGGCCAAAGGGAGGCAGAAATCTGAGGAAAGATGTCATTCTGCCTCTCTTCTGTGTTTTGAGGAAGGAGAAATCGTCACATCAGATGAGCAGGAGAGGTTTAATGAAAATCAGCTGGAGACCTCAACCTGCATTTTTAAGAGTCTGAGGGTCCTAGTGGATTCATGCCTAGAACAGTTAGAGCCTAAAGGTATAAGGCTGTTGTCAGTTGGCCACTGAGATGAGTCCTCAAGAAGAGGTAGCTACATTATAAATGGCCCATATTCACAGTTTATGAAAAGAAAGAATGCACAAGTATTCCCTGTACTTTTAATATTATTCTCATGAAAGAGAATGCCAACATAAAGCCATCTAAAGGGACTTGCCTATGAGGGCCATGTCAAGAACAATGGAACCCTAAAAGGAGTCTACCAAGAGCCAACAGTGAGGCCAAGCCCTGCTGACAGGAAAGGAAATCATATCAGGGAAATCCAGGTGGGAGATGGGTGGCAGAGAGTGGAGGATGCTGAAAAACTCGAAGAATCCCAGGAAGGAGAATGAACAGTCAGCGCAAACCTAGGCTCAAAGAAACCAGGATCACTACACTACGAACCCCGACCTCTCGTATCTCCACTTCCTGCTTCAACCCTAGAAAGGTCAGAATCTGGGAACAGAGCAGTGAATAGAGAAAAGTCCAGCCACACCCTGATCCACTTGCTAGATTCCTACCTGAAACACGCCTGGGTTAGAGCAGGGCAGCAGCTCTCATCTCCATTAGTAACAGAATTTTGATCAGTACCTAAGACTAAACATTAATTACTGAAACGAGACTGTTTTAGGCCTAGAATTAGCTAGGTCACCCTATTGTTTGAGAAAGACCAAAAAGCTTTAATTTCTTACAGCATCCAAAAAGCCTGGGAAAGACTGGTCTCACACAGCCAATCTCAGGGGCCAAGTTAGGAGATATTAAAACTGTTTTCTGATTGTATCCTTCGAGTCTGGCTCATATGCACAAAGGAGGCACTTGAGATTAGCCCTTTTCATGAAATACAGTGGGATGATGATAATATTACTATTACTTCCTCTCATTAAATAATTTCCAAATTAGATTTTTACCTATGTTCTCATGTTCTTGGCGGGGTGGTGGGGGGGCGGGTGAAGGAACTGCTCTAAAACTGTTGCAACAGAAAGTGGCCCGTGACACAAGACTTGCTTGTATTAACTAAATCTGTGGACACTGTGTGTCCAACCCTTTAAATTTTCAGCTGCTGCTAGAAGAGAAAAAGCAAAGAAAAGATGTGAATGATTCCCATTAGGTGGCATCCCCTCTGAATGATTCAAACACCAGCAAAGGCGGCCCAGACAATTCATCACACTGGCAGCACCTGCTCCAGAGGCCCAGAGGTCTCTATCTGTAGAATAAAAACACAGGTGATGTTTCTCTTCTACCCACCACCAGGTTTCTAGCTCACTCTCATCTTCCTTTTGGAACTGACTCTCCACTCCCTTTCTTCAGATTAACATTTAACTGCCATGATTAATATGCTCGTGCTAGCATTTACTCCCATCCTGACTAGTGCTATGACAGGGCATATGCAGCGCCCCAGGTAAGCTTTCTTCAGAGTCAATCATCTAAGAGGCTCTAAATTATTTGGCAATTAAGCCATCACTGTGTTCCCATAGAACTTGGCATTACAGGTTTGCTACTTGCAGAAAATCAGGAAAAAAAAAATGTATACACACACACACACACACACACACACACACACACACATATACATTAAACGCATTCCATCCAAGCAGCACAATGACCAAACAAACTACAATGGACATTCACAGACAGACATATGCAAGCTGCTAACAGGATCCATAGGTGCCCCCGCCCTCTCGCATTCAGGCAGTGGCTATGCTTGCTTACCTAGCCGCCTGGGCACCAGGTGAACTGGTTTAGCTCTGTTCTGCTCCTTCCACTTCTCCAGGTTGGCCAGCTCCTGTTCCGCAACTAAGCCAGGTGAGAAATATCAAATCGTCAGTTACTAGACTTCTAAAAGAAAACCAGTCCCTTCGAAGCATAAGAAACAACTATTAGAAGTCAATTAACTACATATGAGCATGAGTGAACAAGACTTCCAGGTTAGAAACACAATATTCAGCCCTGACCCCTATGTGTCACCCTGGGCCCGGCCCTGTGGCACTTCTCACCAAGAATCAGCACAGAGGGTTCAAATTTGAAAAACCACCTGGGCTCCTACTAAAACAAGGAAGTATAGCTTTTCCTACCATTCTGGCATTTTTAAAACTCTGTATCAAGTTAATTTTTAAAGTTTCCTATAGATAATGTGTGCAAAACTAGAATATTTTCATGTCAATAAGAACTTTCCACACACAGGTAAACATATCCCCAGAGAATTCTGATGCCCATACTCGCTTTATGTTCAATGCTCCCCAAGCTTACTGCAACTCTAGGGAGCGAGGGCTCGGTGCCACAGGTGGGGACCCTGGCTCTGGTTTCGGGCACTCCGGACCGCCATGCAGAGTCCACTTCCGGGGGAGCTGTGCTCATTTCCTAAATGTTCACTGTGCACGACAGCAGGGGGCGCCAGAGAGAAACTAGTTCTGTCACTCCAGCGCCTTCCCTTATCTCCTCATGAGATCCAGACCACGTTGAGACTTAAGCTCCTGTTAAGTATTTAAATCAAAAGCTTGTAAAATACCAGATCGGCTGGCAGTTCCTGTAGTCCCTGCATGGCTGTGATTGTCATATTCTGCACTGACCCACTGTCCCACCCGGGACTACATGTCTGGTGGGGACTCCTTAGAGCGCTTTTTCCCTTTTGTGCCTTTCTGTCCATCATTAGTCATGAAGTTAAATTTCGTACCAATTATCTAATAAAGGAGACCATCGAATTTCAGCATAGCCCCACAGCTGAACTTGAACAGCCTACTATTTCTTTGTGAACTAAATGAACTTTAGTTCTCTTCCACCTCTAAAGCATAATGCTATAACTTTAAATGGCAGCATTTATATTTACCGTACATCAGTTAAACACGTTATGCACACATTAAGTACAGAGAGCACAAAAACGAGTAAGATGTGGTCCCTGCCCTCAAGGAGGTTTATTGGCAATAAGTGTAAAGTTTTTCAAACCAGTAGAAATCCAGGATCTACCATCATGTCATGAGTTGTTACTAATGTAGAGAAACAAACTTAGAAGTGTTAATAGAATATTTTTAAAGGTATAATCAAAACTGCTGATGCTTTAAAAAAAAAACTTTATGAGATTTGGTGAGTCTATATAAATCAGAAAATAAAAATACTTCACACCAAAATAAACCAATTGTAAAAAGAGAGAAGCATTCTGAATGTTAAATGAATAGCTATACGTACTTCTTTGTATCTGATTTCTCCGGTTTACATTTGGTGCTATCAAGGTATATGCACTTGTGCTAAAAGGAAGAGAAAAAAAATGCTTATTACCATGAGAAACTACCAATGCATATAAACCACCAGATATTTTTCCTTCTATTATACTGTATTTATGATCATTACCATCAAATAGGCACCATGAAAGATAATCTTCTTAAGTCCCTGGTCTGTTCTCTGGGACCTCACAATCTTGATGTCAAAGTAAAACAAAGGACATGACCAAATAAGGAAATATAAAAAATTCGATGAAGAGTGACAAGTGACTAGTTGGTATACTGTCCTTGTAGGGCTCCACCATTCCTCTAGGTGGTGCTCGTGAGTAAATTCCTTTAAGATTGCTTTAGATTGGCATTCTCTTCCGTGTGACCACACCGAGGTACAGGAAACATTGGCACATTTTTTATTCCCACAGACTGAGCGTAGAGGCCATTTGCGATGCAGCCACCTCCTCTTGATGACCTGAGTAGCTAACTGGCTTTTAGGCTTTGACTTTTCTAGGCCTATGTCCACTGGGTCTCTTCTTCTAGGGACACAGGTTGAGCATAATCAGGGGCTCGGAGAAGCAAAGAGTCATTTCAAACAGGGGGATCAGGGAAGACTTTTTAAGCAAAAATATTCAACTCCATGACACTAGGAAGCTGTTATAATATTGTGAGCTTTTGAGGGCAGAGAGTGTGCTTGATTGATGTGTATTCCAAGCCCCTGGCACAGTGTCTGGCACAAAGACACTGGCTGCTTGATAAATGTGGGCTGAATTAAAATAAAATGATGCTACAGACCTAGCCTGTGAGTCTGTGTTGGGGTGGCTCTTTTTTGAGATGATACATGTGATCCCACAAGAGCATGAATACTCCGTTAAGCAAAAATATAGCACAGCAACAGACTGCAGCATACGTGTAGGTACAGTTTTAAGAGAAATGCTGTGGATAAACACAACCAGCTTATAACTGTAGGATTTAAGAGGGGGAAAAAAAAATCCACCCAGATACTCTTGGAAGTCTCTTCTACCTGAATATACCATTTCAAAGGGCAAATTAGCAAAGATTGAACAGTAGAGACCAAAAGCACTGATCAACAGAAGCCATTTCCTTCCTTATCTCATTATTTTTCTAGCAGCTAGCCTTCAGCCAGCTTCAAACTGGGCTTTAAATTTAGACTTGCAAATGTGAGGTGTGCAACAGCCTTTGCATGCAAATGGGGCTGCTGGATGCCCAATTACCTAATGTATATCAGCAGACGTTGCATGTGTAGCCTAGCATGCATACAACGTTATGAATACAAAATTAGGAGGCTGCCACTGGAAATTAATCCTTTGTCCATTGCATATTCTTTGTACACCCTAAGAAACATTTTTCACTCCTGAATTGCCAGTACTTTATAGGAGCTTGGAAGCTGCAATCCTGTGGGTAGTCCCTGGAAACTTGAATATGGTGCAGTGGTGAGCCATTCTACAGAGACTGAAAGCTGAAACATGAGATACTAGATGTAAATGCCCATCATGAAACTGCTACACAATCTTCAATGTCGGCTAACATTGTGGTATAGAGCTTTTCTCTATGAAGTTATGGGGTCCAATGACTTACATTTTTAATGAGTTCCAAGATGATGCTGTTCTTGATCTAGGTACCACACTTGGAAAACCACTACTATAGAGCAATCAAGCTATCTTAGAACACTTGGGATAAAAGAAAACTTAGGGATTCATAAATCACTGGTAAAGACAGAGGTTGAATCTCAGACCAAAGATCACCAGGTCAACTGAGCAACAGTGATGAGACTCCAATCTAGGACTTTTGACTTAGTTGTCTGTCTGCAGCTAACTTTTCAACTCAATGTGCAAAGCATAAAATATAACCATCCTTTAACTTTAGCCCCCTTGATAGACTTCCAAACCGTGCAACCTACTTAACTGAGCACTTACGGATTTATTATATTAGGGGCTTGTAGAGAATGAGGGGAGATTCCAAAACAGGGATACTAATCACTTTAACAGAACTTACACTTTAGTTAGGAACAAGTCAAGAAAACACCAAAGCACCCCCACGAGAATATCCAACCACTCAACATGAGTTCTGGATGGGGGAAAAAAACAAAAAAAGAAATAAAAAATAAATTAAAAAAGAATATCCAAACAGGTCTTAAAGTGGGATGATGTAAGTACTCAGAGATCCAAAACAGTAGAGATTCATAGAGACCTCAGAGGAGTAAAAAACCGAATAGCACGAAATAAGAATAGCGAGTTGAGGCTCAAAGAATAGGATCTGAAACAGCAAAAGTGTTTCTTTGCCAGGACTTTGCCAAAAGCAGCTTCACAGAGAATTTTCCAAGTCCATGAGTCTCTCTTACAGAAATTTTGCAAAAGGTTTGGAAAGAAAAATCAATTTGTTTGTAAAAGATTGTAGTCTACAGTATCTAATCTGGTTAAGTTTTTAACTCCGACATCATACTAGAATCTTCTGTCTTAGGAATAGGACTTCAGTCAATCTACGGCCAATGTGTGTAGCCTACAGGTACCTAATAGAGAAACGTAAAATAAAGGGAAAGAATTAGCTCTGAATTTAGAGGGTTTTTACTGAAAGCATTTTAGCATAAACCCAGGCAGTGGTCCCAGTAATAAACATTTTACGTACATTTTATGTGAATTCCTCGGCAACCATCTTAACAATATTTTATTGACTGAAAATGCCAAATCTAAAACATGTTATAATAGTCCCAAGAAAGCATTGCCAAGTAAATGGTAGGAACTTAGCTTCTATTTCTATTTCTTAACATAGGAAGAAGAGCTTAAGTCAAAGGATATGCTTTTTATTTTTTAATATCATGTGTCACAGTGTAATGCCTTCGTAGATACACATATTCATCCCTTCTTTCTTAGCTTTCTCTTGACATGAATAGCAAGTATAATTTATTAATGTTTTCAGCCAATTAGTTTCTACCCACAGCAAAAGCCTTTGCTGTTTTAACCTATGTGCTATCTCTTTTAACAGCCTGACTCTCAAAGCTGCTGATCTAGACAAGTCCAACCACCAACATTTCGTATTCTCGTCATTTCCTGATTAAGCAACATTCAAGCCACTGAAATAAATGTATATATTTGAAAATGAGTCTTCTTAATTACCTCATTGAAATTTAATGAAATATCTCAATTTGTAAGATTGTTTTCACTTTCCAACAGCGCACATCCATGAGATATACTAAGGGAGAATATATGAAAGAACAGACAAGATAAAATGTTTTTCTGCACCACATGTAACGTAAAATAAAAAGATATTCAAGAAATGTTTGGCCAAGTGCAGTGGCTCATGTCTGTAATCTCAGTACTTCGGGAGGCTGAGAAGGGTGGATCACTTGAGGTCAGGAGTTCAAGACCAGCCTGACCAACACGGTAAAATCCCGTCTCTACTAAAAATATAAAAATTTGCCGGGCGTGAAAGTGCACGCCTGTAATCCCAGCTACTCGGGAGGCTGAGGTAGGAGAATCGCTTGAACCCAGTGGGCAGAGGTTGCAGTGAGCTGAGATCGTGCCACTGCACTCCAGCCTGGCTGATAACAGCGAAACTCTGTCTCAAAAAAAAAAAAAAGAAAAAGAAAAGCAATGTTTTCCTTGTGAGGTCTCTCGAGTTACACAACTGCATCTTGTGTGTACATTCTTGCACAATTTTTATAACCTTTTATCAACAAGTACTCTGAAAAAAATGTTATGTTGAAGTTATCAAAAATATCTTGGCTGGCTAAAAGTATTACATAACTATATCCCCTGGTGTGTACAAACTGCACCAGATGTAATTTAAATTTCTAATTAGGAACAACACTGGTTTGACTGAAAAAGAAATGTAGTTAAGAGCAAAAGTTCAGAAAGAGAAAATTAAGTGAAAAACATAATTTCAAGCAGAATAGTAGACAGGTAAAGTCTACAGTCCTACAAAAAGTTGAAGTTTTCATAGTTCAAGAAAATCTTATCCTTGGGTATACATAAATTGAAAAAAAAAAAAAAGACTTGGAGATAATCAAAGGCATTTGGATACTTACCTTTCTAGATAAGACTTTCCATATTGGTTTTTGTTACACGACCTTCAATGTAGGAATCTGAAACTTACTGTTTTCAGTCAACACTGAGTCAAAACTTTTGAGGCATTTAGGTTTCCAAAAGTTTTTTCATACATAGACCAAATTCCCAAGAAAAATAGAAAATGATGACCAGGCTGAGCGAATTGCCCTTGACCCCTAATCCTATATCATAGCATCCCTGATCAAGTGTTCCACATCTCCAGTGTGAAAACGTTTATGAATTGTCTTTGGCCTCAGAAACTACAGAGGCTAAGACACTCTATGCACACCCAAGAAGCTAATGTGTAATTGATTAGTTCTTTCATCAATACAACTCATAGCTTCTGTTAGAGGGCTGAATAGACACACAGTGGGTAAAGACAGATAAATAAGCAGAAAATCATCAGGGCCTTTGTTTATAGGATGCCTTTACGAAAATTAGAAGCACACACACCCAGGATCCCATGGCTTAGTGAGACATTGTAAATTCATGCAAACTAGAAAATAAGTGCTGCTTCTTTCAGGTGGAGGTAAGGACACATGGTTTGGTATGTATCTCAGCCACAAATCACACCTTAGCTAGGCAAGTGTGTGTAGTCACCAATCTGTGCAACCATATAGAATGGACCTGAGATGATGTATTTCTTCACTTAAACACGCACCCATGGCCGGGCGCGGTGGCTCAAGCCTGTAATCCCAGCACTTTGGGAGGCCGAGACAGGCGGATCACGAGCTCAGGAGATCGAGACCATCCTGGCTAACACGGTGAAACCCCGTCTCTACTAAAAAATAGAAAAAAACCAGCCGGGAGAGGTGGCGGGCGCCTGTAGTCCCAGCTACTCGGGAGGCTGAGGCAGGAGAATGGCATGAACCCAGGAGGCGGAGCTTGCAGTGAGCCGAGATCCGGCCACTGCACTCCCGCCTGGGTGACAGAGTGAGACTCTGTCTCAAAAAAAAAAAAAAAAAACACGCA